ACGGGATTGCGCCTTACAGAATTGTAAGTATATCTAAAATATATAGAGGAAGTTTTTAATCGATTATCTGTTCCTAAAGAATTGTGATTTTTGAAAGAATGGTGCTTAGTCGACTCACGTGCATTCGTTTGCTTCTAGTTGACTAGCTAGCTTGTGTGGAATTACGCATTAAAACTAGTTCAAAACAACTGGTAGATCCCGTGGACGCTATTTTTCTTGGTGTATCTTCTACTACAGTAGCACGCTAATCTGCAGTGCGAAATATCAAATATACGCGATAGTCGACACAGCTATGCAAAGTGGCTATTTTCAATGTAGCTTTTCATCCTTTTATATCCAATGTGATGACAGGTAGCGTATTTTTTAACTTCGTTCTAAGCAAAGTAAACGATTATAGCCAGTAAGATATCAAGCCTGTGTCAGTATGTAACTGCTCTATGAAACACATAGAACGTCCTAGCACGCTATCTAATACAACTGCAGGAAAGACTCGATCGAAAGCTTCCGAAAGCCGCTCATTATGCTCTGTTTTGAACAACAAGACATTCGCTAGGATAATGTCGGCCGCCCTTTCGACTATAAATGTGTTTTGTTTGTGCACCAACATCTGTTTCACATTTCTACAGTCGAAGCACAGGCGTCCCAAGCCCGGAGGGGTACTCGATATATTCCTGGGTGGGGAGGTGCGGCGCGGCCCCTCATACCCTGGCCATGTTTAAGACAAATATCGCTGACTATCCTACCCTGTTTAAGACAGAATTCCGCTTTTTGATACCCTGTTTAAGACATTTAAAGTGCGCCTAAACCCAAAAAATTTTTCGCTTAACAAAATAAGCGTATTTTTTGGAGTATTTCTGTGCAAAATTTTTTTTATTTGCTCAAATCTTCAATTTTCTGTGCCCAGTCAAAATACAGAAAATCGGCCGCCATCTTGCCCCACGACCGAGTTTAAAGAGGAATGGCTCTAGCGGGTAATGTGACGTCAAATCGAGAACACGAAAGTCTGCATTTCACACATTTTCACTTGTTTGGGAAGGTTGTCGTCGATATTGTCCGAAATATGCCGACTAGGTGTGTTGTATGAGGAATGTATGAAGCGCGATACCCTCTTGCAAATTTCGCACGTTGCTACATCCTTCTACAATACACTTAGTCGGCATATTTTCGGACAATATCGACCACAACCTTCCCAAAAAAGTGAAAGTGTGTGAAATGCAGACTTTCGTGTTCTCGATTTGACGTCACATCACCCGCTAGAGCCATTCCTCTTTAAACTCGGTCGTGGGGCAAGATGGCGGCCGATTTTCTGTATTTTGACTGGGCACAGAAAATTGAAGATTTGAGCAAATAAAAAAAATTTTGCACAGAAATACTCCAAAAAATACGCTTATTTTGTTAAGCGAAAAATTTTTTGGGTTTAGGCGCACTTTAAATGTCTTAAACAGGGTATCAAAAAGCGGAATTCTGTCTTAAACAGGGTAGGATAGTCAGCGATATTTGTCTTAAACATGGCCAGGGTATGAGGGGCCGCGCCGCACCTCCCCACCCAGGAATATATCGAGTACCCCTCCGGGCTTGGGACGCCTGTGCTTCGACTGTAGAAATGTGAAACAGATGTTGGTGCACAAACAAAACACATTTATAGTCGAAAGGGCGGCCGACATTATCCTAGCGAATGTCTTGTTGTTCAAAACAGAGCATAATGAGCGGCTTTCGGAAGCTTTCGATCGAGTCTTTCCTGCAGTTGTATTAGATAGCGTGCTAGGACGTTCTATGTGTTTCATAGAGCAGTTACATACTGACACAGGCTTGATATCTTACTGGCTATAATCGTTTACTTTGCTTAGAACGAAGTTAAAAAATACGCTACCTGTCATCACATTGGATATAAAAGGATGAAAAGCTACATTGAAAATAGCCACTTTGCATAGCTGTGTCGACTATCGCGTATATTTGATATTTCGCACTGCAGATTAGCGTGCTACTGTAGTAGAAGATACACCAAGAAAAATAGCGTCCACGGGATCTACCAGTTGTTTTGAACTAGTTTTAATGCGTAATTCCACACAAGCTAGCTAGTCAACTAGAAGCAAACGAATGCACGTGAGTCGACTAAGCACCATTCTTTCAAAAATCACAATTCTTTAGGAACAGATAATCGATTAAAAACTTCCTCTATATATTTTAGATATACTTACAATTCTGTAAGGCGCAATCCCGTTTAAGACAGGCTATTTTCTATTTGTAGAGACACGATCACACTGCTTCAATAACAGAATTCTCTACTTTTTTTATTTCTCCGATTGATATTCCCCGATCACGTAGCTAAAAGGCTCGCTCTCGTCTCATTGGCCTAGCGCTAACGTGGTTAAAGGATTATATTCGATGACAAAGGAAAACAGACGCGCGTGTGCTGTCTTAGCCACAAGTATCTAAAATTAAGCATTTTTCAACGGCGTGCAAAAAATTTGACATGAATATCAGTTTGCGACTCCCAGCCAACCTTGCAATGTTACGTAAAAGAGTCATTGCCTTGTTTACGATTTCCCAGCATTTTGACTATAATTATCCACAAAATAAAGCTTTCGGAAACTGAAGGTGATAAACCAAGAGCCGGTGTATGTAAATGTTGGCAATCCCGAGCACACCCTGAGATTTTTTGTAGGGCAGGTTCAGAACAATTCAATCGCGAGACGGTCTCCTGTCCATGGTTTGATCAATCAGCACTTGAGACTTGTGGGAAAAAGGTATAATGGTTTTCTGATTTGTTAATCGGATAGACAGGAGGGGTCCCTGATAACACAGAGCAAATATATCCAACGAGTATAAGGAGCAAATTCTAATATTTTCCAATTTTTTTTTCGCGAATAAAAAAAATTCCAAAATTTCGGTGGCAGTTGCATCACACTAATATCCTCTGACCAAAATTTCACTGATTAAAATCATACGTTAATTCCAAATCCATCTATATTAAAAACAATAAAAAAAAAAAAACCAAAAGAAAAAAACACGCTCTAATTGCTACGCGCGTACGACAGAAACGGTCTTTTCAAGTTAATGGTGATCTTTTGCGTTTTTAGTTGCCGCTTTCTCTACCTGTGCTGGCTTTAATACTTGCTGTGGAAAGAGAATTTCCTGTTGAAGCCGTCAGTAACCGAACTCGGGCTACGAGGAAGAAAACGGTCAGATGGACTATGAGAGAAGACTGTTTGTCCCGCCACTAACAGATCAAGCGATTTGTTTCCGCTGAAATTTTGTCCCGACAGGTCTTCCATAGCATAATGGCTAAATAATTTAAAATGATAATAATAATAATAGTAATAATAACAATAATAATAGTAATAATAATAACAATAATAATAATGATAATAAAAAAGGAAGGTTGGCAAAAGAGAACAATGTTTCTCTTTCCCTTAATTCCCTCACCGCGTTCCTTTTGCAGTCGTTAAATCAACTGCGGTTGCTAGTTACGCTCTGAAGGGTGACCTCAGGGATATATATGAAGTCTCTGTAAAAACCTTCAAAGCTCTTGCCTACTGCTTACATTAGGGTCAATATCAGCCTTTTGCTGTTTAAATTTCGTCTCTTCAAGGTTCGTCTTCAATGCACAATTTATAACACACCTTTTGGGGAGAAATGATCTTAACACTCTATACTGGCTTGTTAGTTTTCGATCACGGAATAAAATATTTACTGCCGAGCGAATATACTAACAGACAAACTTCCCACAGAATATGGAATACAACGGTTAATGGAGGGCGCACTGTCTATATTATGGCGTCCCATCGGGGCCAAAATTCAACATTGCGATTTGACATCGTACTTTTAGTGTTCTTCCTTATTTCGCGATTGGACTTTCAAGTTTTTATTCCTTATCAAACTTTTTTCGATTCAACATTGTCTTTTTTACAATTAAACCTCCAAGTTTCAAGTATTAAACATTGTAGTTCTTGTACTTCCACTTTGTAGTTGTGGCAATGCAATATTTTTGTACTTATGGTATTGATATATTCAACATGCAGTACTTCGCGCTATTCAACATTCAACTTTCCATCTTCCAACCGCAACCCTGCTAATAACGAAGGAGCGCAGGCTCACTTAGTTCAAGTACCTCATGTAAGCCTCATAACTTCGTACGAGGTTATCTTGTGGGATGAAAAATGGACGATAAATCGTATTTGCTGGACTGTGTTCATAATATCCTAGCTTAAACAATAGTATGTACCTGACACACTTCGTCTATATGACATCATTCTTCTCTTAACTGTTCTGCAACTTACTCTAAGCATAGTAGCCATCTCTTGCAATTTAAAACCTTGTTCAATTAAATATGAGAGCTGTTCTTTGTTTATTACGCACGAGGGTCGTCCACATCTACCATCTTGTTGTACGCTAGCGCTATGACCTCCATAAGAATTCTCAGTTCTTT